GCATTGAAAGGAACAGAGAAAGGAGAATATTATCATCCATTCCTATCCCATTTCTCCCAAAAGAAGGTTCTGTAGTTTTCAGTCTGCTTTGGCTAGATAACAAATACCCTGTCATCTGCTTCAGTTTCTGCAAAATTAACGAGATACTACTTTCCCATGGTTGTGACGTGGATGAGCTCTCAATACCTGAGCATCGGTTAGCTGCAGAAGCCAGTGCAGGCAAGCACCTGTGTAGGAAAGTCCACTGGTCACCTTGCCTGGGCCCTGGGAAATTTGTTATCCACTGAAGACCTTCTAAAACTTGTTTGTGGTTGGGTTTTTTTTTCCTTTTCTTCCAAAACAAGCAAAATTAAATAACTGTGGCTCTGGTAAATATTGTTTCTTCTCTGGGAAATGGCCAGAGGCATGTTTGCTTGCTTCTGCCTGTCCTCTCAGAGTGGAAAAATGGTTAATACGGAAAAAGAATGTAGAGTTGTGCCAGACCACGCTTGTTTGTGCTGGCCCCGTGCAGGGGCGCTGAAAAGCACTTTTGCTATACCAGCGAATAAATCATTCTCAGCTGGGTATCATGGAGTGCACCAGTTGCTCACAAAACAAAACCTAAGGGGATAAAGCAGCTGAGTGTTGTTAAGGTCCAGGACTGTTGCTCTGGTGTGTGTGCTAAGGAGGGGATTTTTCACCCAGGTTTTTGTAAATGCAGTGTGGATCTGCTGCTGGGCTACAGCAGCACTCAACGGGAAAACCTGGGTTACAATAGCAAAGGCACTTTTTTTCCTGGAAGCTCTAATGTGTATAAATGGTTTCTGTTCAGAGACACACAAATTCACACCATGTGAGCTGGGTGTCTCCTGCTAGGGTCTAGAATACCAGTCTGCCCGACATTTTACATGGGGATACAGAGATTTTGATTTCTTCCATGTCTTCTCTCAAGCAGGTTTTGTTTTTGCTTTGCTTTGGTGTGATGCTAATCCAGTAGTTTTTCTCTTATACATTTTAAGGCATCTAAAAATCATTCTAAACAACTCTTACCTTTCTCTTTTCCCATTTATGTATGCTTTTATTCAGTTTTAGGGGTTTTTTTTCATGTGTTCATGACAAGAAGATATTACCCTTCTCTTTTCCTGTTTATGTATGCTTTTATTCAGTTTTAGGGTGTTTTTTTTTTTCATGTGTTCATGACAAGAAGATTCTCCTATAAAATTTTTTTTTCCTAGTAATTAAACTTCTGTATGTGCTGTGTAAAACCTTTCTGAACTAGTGCGAGCCCTTCATCTGCCAGTGGCTGGACTAAACCCTGTGTCTGCCCAAGCTCTCTTTCTATGCTAAACTCACTCTTGACAGCTGGAGCAGGCCTTGGCCAAGGGGGTGATATTCCACTTTTCAACCTGGACAATGCTCCATGGTCTTCTGTAACTCAGCCCCTGCTGGATTCCCTCCATTGACCTGTACGTGGCCGTTTTCTTTCTGTCACTAGAGGTCATTCGGAGCCATATTTTTTAGGTTACATTTTTCAGTTCCTGCAGAAAGATTTACCATTATGGAGAGAAAAACCTTCTGATTATTTCCATTCATGATCATTAACATTAAAATGTTACTACAGTAGCTCCCCTTTAAAACTGGCAGACGTGTTCTTAAGAAAGTTTGTAAATTCCCATCGATTAAATTTGGGAACTGTTTGAATGGAAAACGAGTACGTTCGCAGCTTCCTTTACCAAACTTCCTACTGTACCCATACATACTTGTGTCCATGGTTCCATTATTGATGTTTTTCAGTCTTCTACACTTGTATTTGCTGCTCTTTAGCATATTGTGCTAATTAACTTTCCTGTAACTCTCCTTCATTCAGTTTTGTAAGTGCTTGAATATCTCTTTCATCAAACTCAGCATTTTGTGCAGCACTTGCTATTTGAGCTACAGCATCCTCTCATTTCTCACATCTTTAAAAATCATGAGTCCAGTCCTTCCCTCGTGCCTTCCAAGAATCATTCATTGTCTTGCTACTTATTAAGTCTCATGAAGCAAGAATGTTTTTTCAAGGCAGGTTGCAACTTTTCAAAAATTCACAGTTTGATTTGTCACAGTTTGATTCACAACGTTTGGTTTGTCATTGCTTTGAAATAACGTGTTTGCATAAATAAAACATTTTGAAAATTAGCCTTCTTGTGGTTGTAAAGGTGAGGCAGCATTTGGTGGTAAGCACGACTTCAGTGTTGAGCTGCAAGTCCGGCAGGGGAGCTGGCGGGCTGTTGTACTGCGAATCTGCGTGGACGTAAGTGCTAGGTTGTCCCTCGCTGCTCAGCAGCAGGCTCAGCATATGAGCAGAGCAGCCAGACAGGTTTTCTAGTTCTGAAACTCTTCTGAATGTGCTTGCTGTTAAGGCTTCTGGGACACCTTCCACCACAGCAGTCATTTCTGTCCTCCTGTTTGTACCCAGACTGGGAACGGGGCCCTTCCCATGGACTCTCTGGGGAAATGCCAACCGCAGAGGAAGGGGTGCGGGCGTCAATCCCAGCGCGGGTACGTGCAATGGACGGGTGCGTTACGGGAGACTGTCAGGCTGGTACGTTACTGTGTGCTTTTGTCTGAAAAAAGATGATGCTAAGGACCTGCCTCAGCTCTTACAAGGACGCTGATGATGTTTGTGAGAATGCATTTACTTTTGTCTGAAGTGTTGCGTACGTCATACCATCACCGTATGGGGAGTCCCTTTCAAACTACAGAAAGATGGAGCCAAGCGTTACTGGTTTGGGTTATCTTCCTCTCCCTTCAGCACAGATGCCAGTTTTCTACCAAATAGTAGCACATGCTTATCTGGATATTCCTGCAGGTGGCACTGATTTAGGTTATCATTAATTTATGCCCACAAAAGCAGAAAAATCATGGGTACGCTTGCTAGATTATAGGGTGACCAGTAATCCCAACCAAAGCGTTGATACAGAAATCGAAGACTTCACACCGGGCAAATCACATTAACTAAAGGCTCTAAAATGTAAAGTAAATTTTATTATCCTTGAACCACAAAATAGATTTCTTTGGTTGTACAAATTTCACTAGTTACAGTCTTGATGCGCTAATTTTCCCTCAGAGTCTCTCAGGAGAGAATGGGAGAGAACCCAGAGCCTGGCACCAGGTACCGCAAAGGGAAAGAAAAAAAAAAACCAATCAATCACAAGTTAGTCACCAAAAACCAATCCAGGATTGTTTCCAAAATTGCTGCTGTTAAAAAGCAAACGCTAAAATTAGATTTAAAAAGGAAAAGCTCAAATTGCTGATGATGGAAGCAGCCGTAGCTGCAGTTTGAGATTATCAGAGTTCCCCCTTCAAAGCTCAGTAAAATTAAAACGTATGAAGTCAGTTAAAATGATCCACTGGATTTTGGCATGAAGGGAGATTCTGAACTAAAGGGAACTGCATCCAGTTCTTTCACTCAGCAAATATACAAGCAGAAGTGCCTGTTGCTCCCAAGCTGCTTCAAGACACCGAGAGGCTCAAGGTCCAACTCTGGTCTTACTGCTGGCGGGGTCCAGCAGAGAGCACCAATGTCTCAGGGTGGGCAGGTCAGATTCCTGCCAAGCTCCGATGCCTTTCTCCCTAATTAGAGGCATTAAAAAAAAAAAGGGATGCTTTACTCCAGTAGTGGGCAGCAGAGCAGCAGAGACTGATTTCGGAGCTCTAAGCAGCATCTGTCTGTACATCTGCAGAGCTCCCTTGATACAGAATCCGTTCACAGCCCTTATTCCACTCATGGAAACCACCCTGCTCTTTTTTTTCTTTTTTTTTTTTTTCATTTTCATTTTTCTCCTCTGGCACGGGCAAGCATGGATTTTCTCTATTCTACAGGAAAGGGGGCTGCAGCCAACACGCCGCAGAGAGAACTGAGTAGTTATTGCAAGGCAGAGGCCAGCTCCGCCACAGTGCTCCTCCAGAGCCGGCGCTGGGCACCCCGTAACGTCACATTTTGTTCCACAGCTAGCAGGGAACACAGCGGATGCACCCTCTAGCACCCTCCTACGTGTAAGACCCCGTTACTCCTACCCTGACCCCAGCAACACCACTTCCTACTCTTCCCTAGTTCCTGAACCCTAACCCACTATTATCTTATCTGCTCTTTACCCCTCCTACCGCTGCCACCATCCCCTAGCCCCAGCTATCCTGCTCTCTATTGCTGTCACACACACACGGCTCTGTCCTCATCCTGCCCTGCTCACCAGCTCCATGACGGTGCCGACAGGAGACAGACGCTGGCCCCCCGACACCCAGCGCAGCAAAAAAAATTCACGCTGTACACACCAGATGCACACACACCTAATGTGCACGCCTCGGTAGGGATCTGTCTCCCAGGACAGCACGACGTCTGGCAGGAGCAGCGTCCGACACGGGATGGATTGCTGCGCTCACAGAGGCGAGTGGCACAGAGCTGGCACGGGCTCCTGCTTATTCTTGTCTTTGCTCGAGCACACAGGTGTCAGTGTCAGAGGGAGGCACTTCACTGAAATTCCTTTTTTTTTTTTCTTTTTCCCTTTTTTTGCCTCCAAGCTCCCCATTTCCACGTACTCCCAGAAGAAAGTGAGGTGACACGGTGCGGGAGGTGGAAGGAGATGCTTTTTGGCAAAAGACTGGAAATTAAATTGGAGCAAAGACAGGCTGGGCCTTCCTTCTAATTCATACCAGAGTAGAAGCTCCCATATTAACCACTAAAAAAAAATCCACGTTGAGAAAATAACAGCCGGAGCCCAACGCACTCTCACACTCGTACGTTCTCCCTGTCCTACCTCCCCCCCCACTATTTACAGGCTAACGAGCTGAGCTGCCCCCCGTCCTGCCCATGCCTCCTCTCCGTTTGCCACCAGCAAGTCCAGTGCTGTCCCGTTTTGTTCAGGACGCGCCCCAGTGCGTTATCGGGTGAGAACAGAGGGCGGTTCACAGCCTTGAAGGAAGTTGTTTGACCGCGGTGCTCCCCGGGGTGCTGGGTCCCCGCCAGGGTCCAGGTGGCAGCAGCGTGGGCAGTCCAGTGCTGTCCCTGGAGCACAGGAAGCTCAACAGCCCTGTGCCGGGCTATCCCCTCGCCCAGCGGCCTCGCGTCTTCTACGTGGGGACGGCAGCCTCCAGGCTGCGCCGGCTGTGCCGGAGCTTGCGTTTGCTGCTGTACAGGGCCATCTCTTCGAGTGCTGACGAAGTCGGTGTGGATGAATCGCGTGTTACTAACGTTTCCTCTTCCTCTGGCTGCCCATTCTGCTCCTGGGGAACTGCGCAGACAAGAGAAGATCAGGCGTTAAGAGGAAGAGCTGGGTAAGCATACAGCAGGACGGTTAACGTCGACACAAGGGATGTCCCGGCGCTGAGTCTGACTGATTGAAAGTAATCCCGTGCCCAGAACCTTTAGGTGAGCCTACTGCTGTAGCAACAGGACATGGGGTAATGGTTTGAAACTAAAAGAGAAGAGGTTTAGACTAGATATAAGGAAGGAATATTTGACACTGAAGGTGGTGAAACACTGGCACAGGTTGCCCAGGGAGGTGGGAGATGCCCCGTCCCTGGAAACATTCAAGGTCAGGTTGGATGGGGCTCTGGGCAACCTGATCTAGTGGAAGATGTCCCTGCCCACTGCAGGGGGGTTGGACTAGACGACCTCCATGGTCCCTTACAACTCCAACTATTCTATATTCTATGATTCTGTCTGCAGCTGATGTCCTGACTACTGTGGGTTCTGGGAAGGAAGCCCCACACAGGAGAAGATGCCTGCCCCTAACACCCACAATTCACTGAAAATTATCGGATGTGCCAAGAATTCGGGAAAATCAAGTGTGCTGAAAGGACTGGGGGTTATGCCGGTGCTCCAGGCAGTTCATTGGCTTTAACTGAGTGGCAGGCGCTGACGAGCAGTGCGACTGCCACTGTCGTTTGCCATGGCTCATGAGAGGCCTCGCTTCATGTTGAAGTTACAAAACTAAGCCCCTTCTGTAAATTCAGACTGTGGCTTGGGTCCCTCACCAAAGGAACTCTCCAGGGAAGATGCCCTGGCAGGGCAGGCTCTCCGTTAGCTTAGCCTCAGGGCTCTGGGGACGTGTTGTGCATCCAAAGCACGCTGCGGCTGTTACAGCAGCTCCCCCCATCCCGCCAGCAGCTGGCAGAGCTCATCCCCGGGCTCTGACCTACACCTGGACATCTGCCCTTCGCGGTAACTTGGCCTGAGCAACTACTGTGAGATACTTGTGTAAAAAGTTCCACAGAACCACAGATTTTTCCCTTCAAGTGCAAGCCAGCTCTGGGGAAGCCTCTCCAAGGTCTTTGAACGTAGCAGAGACCCTCAAATACAGAAATCTCTGAAGACTTATCGGACCAAAGCTGCACCGGCTGCTGCGCCGGCCCCAGGGGCCGCCTGCGGCTCTAGCGCCAGGCTCCAAGAGGCAACATCCCGTCACAGCACCCGAGGATGAGCAGCTGCTATCACTCAGAGTCCTTCCTGAACCATCGACTGTGGCATTAACCGGTTGTTTGAAAACGTCTCAGAACCACGTGCATGCAGGTGACAAATCTGACACCTCGAAAGGACACTGGGGCTGGCGAGCAGACGACTGACTACCGAACAAGGCAAACAGGAATACATAACGGCGTGGGCACATGCGGGGGAAAATCCAGGTGTGGGGTGGGGGAGGAAATCAGTGTGGCTCAGCGAGACGTCATTCCTTTTAGACCCTCTTAGACCAGAATTTCCCAAAGGAGCCAAACATGCACGTTAAGTGATCTCAACACAGCACACCCAACTCTTCAAAACACTCTTAGTTGTTCCGCAGCCGAAGCTCTTCACAAAAACAAGCTGCCATGGGATGAGGCGGCATGTCCTTTAGTGGGCAAGTCGTTAAAACACAGGAAATGTGCAGGAAGATGCTACCTGCTATCACGACACAGAGCAGCCATCTGTGCTAGGGTCACTGTTTGGTGACCGATGAGAAGCACCAGAAGGGAGGAAGATGTATTGAGAGAAACTGCTGGTGACACCGAGCGGAGTATCGGGGTACTCCAATGAAACTCAACTACAAAAACGGGTGTTAGGGTTTTGCAGAGGTGACTGGGCAATGCTGTGGAAGGTGAAATTCACTGGAAATGTGAATAGATTCAAAAAAGATGTAAACTCTCAAAGTAAAGGCCTCTGGTTTAGAAAGTGCTAAAACACAGATTGTTGCAGCCTGGAGCAGTATCCTGCAGGAATCACTTTATGCTTTTCTTACGCTCTTCTCTTGGCACTCCCAGGGGCTCACATCAGACAATACCAGACTAGCCAGAACCTCGTGCTGACTTAGGAAGTTTATTTTAATGCTATTGGATGATGTGTAAGCTCAACAAAAGTAATAGAATCAGGTAGAAATCCGGCACCAACTGTTCAAGGAAACAGAAGCGCTACTAAGGAGCAGGCATGTCCTGCTGAGCTCCACGCTACCACCACAGCCACCCAGAATGAAGTGAGAGGGAGTCTGAGCCCGTCTGTGACAGCTGGGGCAGAGAGACCTGGGACAGCCTGAGGAGACAAAGCAGTCAAAGCTTTAATTACTGTCTGTTTAGGGGACCGTGCACACACCTCCACAAGCGCAGACTGTGAGACTCACCTGGGTACGCCGGCACCCAAACACTCTCAAGTCTTAAACCAGGATGAATTTATCTGCAGCTGCCTGCTGCAGGCAGTGAGGTTCTCTGCTCTAGCAGAAGGGGCACAAGGCAGACCCTGAACCACGGACATTATCCACTGACAGCAGGGGACAGAGGCCAGAACTTCCCACCCACATTCTCCTACTGCTCTTTACTCCAGAACACAAAACCAGAAGAAAACCAGGCATGCTTGTCACACACCATTCCCAGCAGATTAGCCATGACTAAAGCACAATGCAAATATCCTACCCAACACTGAGTGTGGCGAGTTTGGAGGTTTCATTCTAGAATGGACAAAACAGGACATTGCTTCAAGCAGCAAGAAGCTGACGTCCTCAGGGTCGATTCCACGAGCAGGCAAAGGGGAACCCTCCAGAACCGTGGTGGGAATCAAGGAGTACCAAGACGACTCCTTTGGCCATGAGCTTACCTGAGTTATTTCTGTCGTCAGTGTATCTGAGGTCATCAGCTGCATCGGGGGACTGGAAGAGAACAGAAGACATGAGCATCCACCTCTGTGACGCTAGTGCCAGGGAATTCCCACCTCCCATCTTCCAACACACTGCACAGAACCTTTTGCCCTCAGAGGTGCTGGTAACGCAGCCGCCGGGGCACGACCTGCGGTGGACGCACACGATCACAGCATTAATCCTTAAAAAGCAGCCCATTGCCCCAGCTGCAGGATGAGGTGTGTCTGCCGTCAGAGCTCTCCTCGTCTGCTCTGAGTGTGTAGGGAGGAGACGGGCAGTGACATGAAAGGCAGAAAGCGTAAAGACCATAGAAAATGAGCAGAAATGTGAGAGGAGAGCAAAGACATGACCTATGTTTCCTTGAGAGTCCCGGATCCTAATTCTGCATCTGCACTGTTCCCAGGCCCAGCTTCTTGCACAAAATCAGCTTTCTGCTGTATATTCAGGTGTGTACAGAGAACTGGTGAGGGATAGGAAGAACAGAATCACAGAATCGTTTAGGTTGGAAAACCTTTAAGATCATCAAGTCCAACCGTGGACTGCCAAGTCCACCACTAAACCACGTCCCCAGGTCTACAAGTCTCAGATACCACCAGGGATAGTGACTCAAGCAGTTACATCCCTACAGACGGCAGAGACAGCTCTGGAGAAGTGGCTAGGTGATAATCATGGAACTCCACAAGTTCCTGCTAATTTTAAAGCCTTCACAAAATGAAGACCATTCCAACACCCAGAGCCATGTGTAGCTCATCAGACCAGAGTGCCAGCACCATCAGAAAACAACTTTGCTCATGGTCATGAAGTGGCTTGAAAATCAGCATTTCTCTGGTGACACACGTAAGTGTCCCAAGCCTGACTTATTTTGCTGCAATAGAGAATTTAATCTAGCGGTATACTGTACTTCAAGGATAGAAAGGTCAAAGCATTCTGTCATGGTATTCTGTCTACTTCAAAAGTGGCTGCGTTTGTTACTTCTACTATTCTCCCTAGGTTTGTACACAACACTTAACTGAGCTCGGCACTCTCTGAGCTATGCAAATGGAAGGACAGGGTTTCAGAAGAGCTCACTATTCACCAAGTTTAGTAACACCAAACACTACTGATCAAAATCTGTCTTTAAGGGGTTTTCTTGCTCAGCTCAAGAGCACAAGTGAGGAGTAGCTTAATTTTTCTTTAGTTGTACGATAAAGGATGGTGGCTCTATACACTTACATGGAAAGCATTAGGGAAGTTTCACAGCTGTGAGAGTGCAAGAATACATTTTATATCTCCATATAAACTTGCCTATTTTGTGCAACAACATGGGAGGAGGCAGGAAAGAGGGGAAGATATCTCAGCCCATTTGGTGCTTTAGAAATAAAGTGACTGCATGGCAGAAGACAAACTCTTCACGAAGAGCAGAACACGGGGGGCTGTGATGACTTTGGCACACGTTGCTGGGGAGCACAGCCCAGCCAAACAGCACGGCACTGATCCAACGTGAGTGACACCATTGTGTGGCTATGGCGAGAAAGAAACACAGTCTCCTAATTCCTGCACTGCTGAGAGGTCCAGGGGAACTGCCCGATGGTTTGGAGGTGCAGCCTCCCTTGGAGGCACCCTCTCAGCTGCATGGAGACCCAGTGCTGCCCTGTGGCCTCAGCAGAAGCTTGGGGAACCCTGGGGGGTCCAGAGCTTGAGTGGCCAACCCTCGAACTCACTGGGTACAGAGCCTGGCCAGGGGCACACCCCAAAGGGAGGGATCTTTAGAGAAACCAATGAGCGACTACCAAGGGCTGAGCAACACCGCCAGTGAAAGGAGTCAAGAATATGTATCGAATAATGTATAACTGCCTGAGCATCCTCCAGCTGCAATTCTGCTGAAGTCAGCCTGGCTTTGGGGGTGACACCTTGGACCTGGGGTCCTTGTGTCACGACAGCAGGATAAAACCCAAGACATCAGTCCTGGCTAGCTCTCCAGACACACCACAGACGTAACTGCAGCTATCTGCTTCATTGTCGTTATATAAAACTGAAAAAAAACACCTAAAAAAAAAAAAGTACAGCCACAGAGTACCTGCTCCCATCATCTGTCACAAATGCCACCAGTTAATGACTGACCCTGACAGTAGCAGAGGCAGCTCACAGTCCTGGGCAGCTGGCGCGAGGTGGCCCTCCTTGAGCAGAGGGTCAGACACGATGATCTCCAGAGGTCCCTGCCAGCCTCAACAGTTCTGTGGTTCTGTGACAAAGCAGCTTAAATGAAATGAGGTTCTTTCAGGGGGAGAACCACCTCACCATGGCGCTCATCCTTGGAACCTGCTGTTTCTTACCGTGCGATTACCTCAGTTCATCTACAGCAGAGTTACAACATACGAGAACTGTCCCCACAGCTGCTTCTTGGGCAGGATGCTGGACATGTTCAAGTTTGAAGTTAACATTTGCTCCAATGTGCAGTTTGTTGGCAATCATGTCTATAGTTTTTTTCTTCCCTTTTAGTTCTCATCTTTCACTTACAAATATTTCAGGATCAACTAAGGTGAAGATGTAGCTGCTCTGTATTTGCAAAGACTTTGTCGTTAATTTTAAAACCCTCTGGACCAACTTTTTCACAATTCCACTGGACTGAAGACTCCAACACACCGTCAGCTGTGCAGCACGGCTGGTTGTCATTGCCTCTCCCACAGACAGGGCATCCGAGGAGGACTTCCTCACACCAGCCAACCTCTGCTCTGAAGGTCATCGCTCTGTGTGCAGTCATGTCCACCAAACCAAGCCCTAACCGATCTAGCAGACGGTTCACCATGCAGTTTATACCTGGATTTCGTAAACAGGTTTGGAGGAAGGAATAGCAGCAAATTCCCGGTAGTCAAACTTCTTTTCAGACATGGACTGGAAGGGACAGCAAAAGAGAAGACACAGAGAAGAGAGAGTAAGGGGAGAGAAATGGATGGAAGGGCAGCAGCAAGCTGAGCAATCTGCACAGAGATCACAGCAGAAGCGGAGCGTCATTCTGAGTCAGTGCCCAGAGCGCCTGGACACAGCCTCTGAGAAGGAGGCATCTCCGGGACAGTGTCTCTTTGGCTGTTCTGCTGTCAGCACAGGGGTTCCAGGTTGCAGAGAAAACATTATGTGCTCCAGTAAAATGCACATCAAGTTAGGCAGGAAACCTATTTTTGTGGGAAAATTTGTGGCAAGGTTCCTGGTGGCTCTAGCACCATCAGGATTTCAGTCCAGAACTGCTGTGTTGTGTGACCTGGGGCACAACCTGGTCCCCTCTCTGGGCAGCTGCTCCTGCTCTTCTCTTTGTCTGCCTTACTGATTCTGAGAGTTCTCTGCAACAACGTCCTGTTGCATTTATACAGTTCTGAGAAAAAGGAAAATGCTGATGTCAGCTGAAGTTCTCCTTGTTATGCTGTTGAGGAAACAAGGGGCCAAAGTCTCTGAAGTGAAAGGCTTTCTGAATGCAGAGATGGAGCAAACACACCAAGAAAGGGATGAAATAATAAAACAGGAAAGCAGAAAACAGACATTACATCGCAGTGTTAAAAAAGGGGGGATGCCTCTAGCAATAGGTATGGCAGAGCTCCATCCACCATGCCCTGTTCACAGAGACGTATATCATGCAGCCAGACCTGACTCAAGTATTTAAGTGGGGATCCCAGGGCCCAGATGCACAGTCCACACCCAAGCTGAGCAACTGATTGATCCCAGGATGACAGGCGAGAAAACAAAAGCAAGTAAAAGTATGTCATACCAGCCTTCCCGGTGAAGTGATGTTTCTGGGACTGCAATCTGCAGAAGATGACAGAAAAGCACTATTTAGAGAACGGCTGTTTTATACGCAACACTTCCCCCATCTGCCCCTTCCACTCAGCAGCATTCAAGTGTGATAAGAGACAGTGGTCAGGAAAGACACTGCCTTCTCGGAACAAATGCCTCTTTCCTGTCTTTTTAGTCATGATGCCGGGTTTATTTCTGCTCTGCATACCTCGGGTGTTCTCTCACATTTTCTATAGATCAGCCCCATCCCCTATGCTGAGAGATGTCGTACACCCCAAAGGACCTTCCAGTCCTGGCTGACGGAGGAAACTGCTTTCAACAGGTCTGTTTTCAAGCGAGTTAAGCTAGAGAAGCACTAATTTTTTTCCTCAGAGACAGAGACAGCTGTACAGTACCTTCCAGCGGTGTTGGTGACGGGGTAGGAGCAGGTGACGGTGACTCTGCCAGCTGCTCCAGTGTGCTGCGTTTCTTCCCCTCCTTGGACTTGGCAATAACCATTTGAGCTTTAAGAGCGTCCTGTTCAAGTGATTTCATCCTGCCTCAGAAATGAGGGAGAAAAAAACCAACACATCAGACATTGCCTTCTCCACTAGAGGTAACGCCTTCTTCTGCGCCCAGCAGCCGGACCACGGCCAGCAGCTGAGAGCAGAAGGGCGAAGCTAAGCACCCCTGGTTCCCCGAGGCAGACAGGCTTTCAGAGCAGGAGAGGACAGCTTGGTTTGCTGTCGTCCTGACACAGGCATGCCATCACGTGTTGAAGTGACAGAGCCCCGAGCTAAGCCTCAACGCACTGAGAAGCCACAGGCATGTCCAGAGGCGCCGCGTTCGATGGGAGAACAGCCCAAGGAAGGGGAAGGAGCCACAGGAGCAGTTCTCAGGGCTTTCCTCTCCTCTGTGCTCTCAGTGTGTTGCTTCTTAACCCTCTTCAGCCATCAGGACATTATGAAATAGCCAAGAAAAAGGGGGCTCAGCCCTCAGAAATACCTGCTCCCTTCTCCCAGCCAAACAGACCCAGCATCCCCCCTCGTTCCCATCGAGTCAACGGCTGGCCGCCTGTG